GTTTAAAAAGTATAATAATAATGATAACAAACGGAATTAAATAAATACATAAATAAATAGTTCTTTTTAAAAAATGTTCTCCCCCAACACAAAGCCCATCTGTCTCCCAAGGCCTGAACACCAGCCTCAAGGCATCTTCTGTCTGGCACCACCGCCCAGGCTGCCCTGCCCTCAGTGGGCTGCCCCACTCCCTGGCTCCCTCCACTGCCTTCTGGGACTCACCATTGATTTCCCACCCTGGTGTTTCTGGCTATGCCTCTTCAAGGACCACAGCCCCAGAAATGGAGGCCATTGAGCTCCCATGATTTCTTCCCTACCAAGTCGTTCAGAGCAGAGGACACCAGACCCTGGGGGTTGGGGTGGGGGTGTCTGTCTCCCACCTGGTTCTCGCTGGACCTGGCTGGCTTTACCTCTAGAAGGCTAGTGACGCCTGCAGGTGCCCATTTGCAGGAGAGAGATTATGGCTGCAGTTGAGAGCAGACAGAAAGGACAGAGTTTGTCGATGCTGGGAAGAAAAATGGAGACAAAATGAGAGGGATGGAGGAGGGTCTGTCCCTCAGCCAGGCCAGTGAGGGGTGCAGGTGCAAAGCTAAAGGCACACTATTTGTGAATGGCTTTATGTGAGACATATGGGCTGCAGAGCGGCCTCAGGGCCCAGAGACAAGGTGCACATGGAATCAGGGTGTACAGGTGGAGGACGGCAGCGCCGCATTGGCCTGAAGGAAAGGCACCTGCAGCTGGGGTGGACAGGGGCCCTGAGGTGAGGCAAGGCGGGGTCCTGGCATGGTGGGGCTGGGGAACAGCCTTGTTCCTGGGCACAGCCATAGGCACTCCCAGAAACAACCGGTGGGAGACTGAGGCGAGAGGTCCGAGGGGGCTCAGGGGAGTGGCTGTTGGTGGAACTACATCCCGGCAAAAGGGCCATAGAACTCTGACCCTGAATAGCTTATTCTCGATTTCTCGTTCGTTTGTCCATCCACTCGCCCAGTGTGTATGGTACTCCTCTGTGCTGCAGTGCCATTCTCGTACTGAGGATACCCAAAGTGACCAAGAAGGCAAGCTCTGTGTTCTCAGGGTGCTCACTGTTTGTTCAGCTTAGCATTTCTATTCTCTCCATCATGGGGTTCTCCACTCTGTGACCCAAATGAACAAGAAGTGTAATACACAGTGGAAAAATTATGACAAAACAAAGGATGGTTGGGGGCAGCTTTGAAAGCACTCACAGTGGTATTCACCCCTCTGCGAAGCACCTCCTGCACCGAGAGCTTGTGGAGTGGTAACTGATGCTAATCACTTCAGATAAGCTTCCCTGGCTTCTGGTCATGACCAGGGTGGCTCTTCCTTCAGGGAGACCTGCAGGGGCTTTGTCTGAGGCTGTTCTAGGAGACCAGCTGGGACAAGATGCAAGCACATCCCTTCCTGAGAACATAAGCCACTTAGCGCAAAGTCCGGCAGAGCTTTTATGTGGTGCTGAGCTGCAGTGGGAAAGGATACATCACGTAGAAGGCAAGTGGTTAGCCAGAGGCTCTGCTGCTTCATGAGAGGGTGGGGGAGGGGTGGCAAGGCCTGGGGCAGCGGCAGTTAATGGACAGAGGGTTCTAGTGGACCCAGGGGACTCCACTCCCAGTAGAAAATGAGCTGCTCTGAACACTGCTCTCCGTACCAATCATTCCTTCTCCGAGTTTGTGCTTTTAAAATCAAATGGTTTTGGGCCAGTAGATGGTGTGGTGGTTAAGGCACTGGACTCCCACATGGGTGACTGTGGTTCTAGTCCTGGACCCGGCTGCTTGAAAATCACACTGGATGTGTGTGTATACATGCCCAAAATCCCAAGAGGAGAATGGAGGAGAAGAGATTGCAAAGTGGCCATACCCCCAGGGTATGATTTCTCACTTTCTCTCTCTTTGTCTCTCTCCTAAGAGCACACGTGACCAATGGCAAAAACCAAAACAACAACAAAAATCAAATCGTTTCCAAATTGAACATTTTCTGTTTAATCCATTCTGTAATAAGAGCCCGGATGAACAGGCTTTATTTTAGGAATCTTGGACTCCCACATGGGTGACTGTGGTTCTAGTCCTGGACCCGGCTGCTTGAAAATCACACTGGATGTGTGTGTATACATGCCCAAAATCCCAAGAGGAGAATGGAGGAGAAGAGATTGCAAAGTGGCCATACCCCCAGGGTATGATTTCTCACTTTCTCTCTCTTTGTCTCTCTCCTAAGAGCACACGTGACCAATGGCAAAAACCAAAACAACAACAAAAATCAAATCGTTTCCAAATTGAACATTTTCTGTTTAATCCATTCTGTAATAAGAGCCCGGATGAACAGGCTTTATTTTAGGAATCTCTGGTGTGAACTTAGAAAGAACCCAGAAAGAAAAATTGCGTTGAATGACTTTTAATGCTGAAATTCACTTTTCTTGACCAGTTAAGGTCAGTCTATTGGTTTCCAAGTTTTAGAGAAAACTTATTTTAGCCACACTGTACATGGGAGAATTATGCTACATATTTCTGAAATGTTATTTCCTCTGGGTTTGCATTGCAACTTTTCACCTATGAGACTTGCAGAGATGAAACGGGAAGTGAAAAAATGAAGTGATTTATTTTAAACTTTTTATTTCATGATTACTTTAGATTCACATAGAGATGTAAGAAAGAAAATGAAGAGACCCTGAGAGGTCCTGTGTACCATTTACCCAGCTCCCCTGATGGCAACATTTTGCAGAACTAAGCGCAGTCTCACAGCGTGGATACTGCTCGATACAGTCTGCCCCATGTTCAGATTTTCCCTGTCTCACATGTGTTGTGTGTGTGCACATGTGTGCCCATGCCTTTACTTCTCTAAATGGGAAGTTTTGAGCTCTGATGAAGAGAAGTACTTTACAAGTACATATGATTATCAAGAGATTTTTAAGTTTTTGTGGCTATTATTTCTGTATTCTTGGTAGATATTATTGTATTTCCTTTTTTTGTTAGAATACCTATTGTCTAAATAACATAATGAATTGTATGACTGGGCCTGGAGGTGGCATAGTGGTTAAGGGGCTGGACTCCCACATGGCCAATTGCAGTTCAAGTCCTGGACCTGATGACTTGAGACTCATGCCGGGTACATGTGCGTGTATGCCCAAAATCCTGAGAGGAGAATGAAGGAGAAGGGATTGTGGCATGACCATCTACCTTGCGGGATTATTTCTCACTTTCTCTCTCTCTGTCTCTCTGGTGAGCACACATACCCTATAAACAAACAAGCAAACAAACAAAAACCTCTCTTAACAACAACAACAAAAAGGAATTGTATGATCATTTTTTAAGATTTAATTTTATTTATTATTACTATTTGCTATAGAGCATGTACACTCACCAGAGAAAGACAGAGGAAGAGAGAGAAAGTGAGAAGGCAAATCATCAGGTCTGGGACTCAAACCATGATCAGCCATGTGGGAGTCCAGTGCCTTAACCATCACACCACCTGCTGGCCCCTGTATAACTATTTTTATGTTAATGAACATGGGCAGTCAACATATTTAGTTCTTACAGACTTTGCTATTAGAAGCCTGGATCCATTTAGCTGGATCTGGGACCTGCTAAGTTTCCTTCTGTCCGAATATTTAAACCTGAAGCTAAACTCTACATTTTCTTGAGTCGTCACAGCCAAATTAAACCTTTCTGCTCTCTAATCAAATTTTTCTTCTCAACACATTGCCAAGATAATATATTCCTGGTGTAGTAACTAAGTAGAACATGAGAGTATTGTTTTAAAAAAACAAAAAACTGAAGCCCAAGGAGAGACAGGGTAAGTGTCCTGGGCGACCTCCTTTAAACCCACGTCTCTAAATGGCTTCCTTCTTCTCTTTCTTTTCAAGTTTATTCATTTCTTTTTCAAGAGAGAGACAGACAGACAGACAGAGAGAGAGCACCTCCACTAGGGTCTTGATGCCATGATCCACCCCAGCCTCAGCCAGCCCATATCACGGGAGCAGGTGTGCCCAGTGTTCTCAGGGACCTTCCTCCGTGAATTAGCCTTGCAGGGCATGTGTTTTGCTGCTGTGCCACCATGTGGCCCCACTTAAGGGTTTCTTCTAAGGACAGATCACTGTCATCATCACCCAAGGGAACCAGGATGCGTGTCTCTTCTGGGGCCTTAAGCCCTGGGGGTTGCAGCCCTCTGTGTGGCTGAAAGCAGTGTACAGGGTGGCACTGCAGGTCATTCTATTTGCAGGTGTTATTAGAGTGAGGTCTTGAGGTTCAAACTACCAAGGTCAGGCTTTCTCTCCTTTTGTCTCTTCTCTGTTGATACCTCCCTGGCCTCCAACTGCCCTGACTTTCTCTAGGACAGTGACATCCCAGGCCACACCTTGGACGTCGTTATCTAGCTCTCACACCTGAGCTGCTTCAGAAACCTCTAAGCTTCAGCCCCTTCTCTGACTACAACTTCCTCCCATGGAATTCCAGAGCTCAGCTGTATCTTGAGAGGTTATTTACTTCAACTTTCACATCTTACAGATTTAAGAGCTGCAGCTATTAAGTATCGTGCCCACAGGCTCTCAGCTAAGGGGGACCAGGAGCAGCACATGAATGAAGGTCTCTTGATTTCTGGTCTAGACTCTTCCCACCAGGCACACTGTTCATTGTCCTTCCTCAAACCACCGCTACTGCTCTGTACCCTAGCATGACCTCTGTCCTCCAGCCTCTCACAGACCATCACTTCCTCTACCTCCCCACCCAGCCTAGGCCTGCAGCTTATGCCTTCAGACTGTATCCCCTGGCCATCCCCAGGCCTGTCATTCCACACGTGCTATTTCTGCTCCTCCTCTTGGGCCATGGGGCACTGCTACAGAAAGCTGGAAAAGGCAGATACTGACTGGATCCGAACTTGATCAGGATAAAGAGGAGGCAGGAGGGGATGGGCAGATATGAGGGGTCTTCAAAAAACTCACAGAAAATCTGTATCCTAAAAAAATACATGGATTTCAATATTTTTTTTGCACCAAAACAAACTCATTTAATTCCATTCTCTATTAACATGTTGAAGAATTCTCCTACATTTGAGCTTTTTCTTATCTCTTTGGACTCCTCTAAGGTTGGTTCCTCTTTGCGATCTTTCCAGATGGGTGCCCAGTGCTGAGTAAACATCCTTGCTGAGTGTCCTGGGGCAGAGACCATCCAAAACCAAGGCACAGAGGTGGGGCATACAGAAAGTGCCCAGGGAGCAGCAGCAGTCTGGTCTGGCTGAGTGAATGATGGGTGCAGGAACATGGACCCTGACACCGTAGAGCTGGGCTTGAATCCTAGAACCACCACTTTTACCACCTATGTGATCTGGGTAAATGAAAAAAGTAAGCCACAACTTATATACATGTAAAATGAGAATAATAGTAGTACTTCAGGGTCAGAGGGGTTAGAGATTTAAAGTAAGCAAAACTCTTAGCATAGGGCCTATTACATATAATCCCCAAATAAATCCTAGTTGTCATAATCAGATAGAAGTACAGGCAGGGTGTCATACAGACAATGGAGGAACTGTGATGTAATTCGGTGACCAGTGGCTGATGCTGAAAGCCCTACAGAAAAGGGGTGGGTCAGATGTAGAAGATAAAACATCTGACCTAGAGAAAACCACCAAAAAGATAGAGAAAATAACAGCACCAACAACAACAACAACAACAAACCACAAGGATAACATACAAGAAATACTAGATTCCACTAGACACCCTAACATCTGAATAATTGGTATCCCAGAAGATGAAGAAACTAATAAGGGCATGGAAAATCCATTCCATGAAATCTTGGAAGAAAATTTCCCAAGTCTAGAGAGGCATTCAAACATCCAGACCCAAGAAATACAAAGGACCCCAAATAGAATCAACCCAAGAAGATCTTCCCCAAGGCATATCATAGCCAGACTGGCAAAGGCCACAGATAAAGATAAGATACTAAAACTGGCAAGAGAGAAATGACAAGTGACTTACAAAGGTCACCCTATCAGGCTAACACTGGATTTCTCAATGGAAACAATGCAAGCAAGAAAAGAATGGGAAGATGTATTGAAAGTGTTAAGAGAGAAACAATTTCAACCAAGATTATTATATCCTGCAAGATTATCCTTCATATTGGAAAAATAGATTAAAATCTTCTCAGACAAACAAAACCTGAAAGAATTTGCTGACACCAGGCCATCTCGTCAGGAAACACTGAAGAAAGTACTGTTCCAGGAAAACTAAAGAAGTAACAGCCAGAAACAAAGGAATTGAAGGCAACTAAGACAATGGCCAACTTAAACGTTGGGACAGGTCCAGTAACATCAATAATAACAGTGAATGTTAATGGATTAAATTCTCCAATCAAGAGACACAGACTGGCTAAATGGATAAAAAACAAACAAACAAACAAACAAAAAACAGAAACTCTGTATCTGTTGCCTACAGGAAACCCACTTCATGGATAAAGACATACATAGACTGAAAGTGAAGGGCTGGAAAAAGTTTTCCCTGCAAATGGGAACCAAAAAAGAGCCTGAGTCATGATACTAATTTCTGACAAAATAGGCTTTGAAACAAAAACTATTTGAAGAGACAAAGAAGGACACTATATTGTAGTAAAAGGGTCAATCAATCAAAAAGATATAACGCTTATTAATATCTATGCACCTAACACAAGAGCACCCAAATATGTGAAGGAAAGACTGTTAGGTCTAAAAGGGGAAATAAACTGCAACACACTAATTGTTGGAGACCTCAACAGTGCATTATCCCCTCTGGACAGATCATCTAGACAAAAAAATAGGTAAAGAGATAAAGGATCTAAATGATACCATAAATCAAAGGGACTTAACAGACATCTATAGAACTTTCCATCCAAAAACCACAAAATACACTTTTTTCTCACTCCCACATGGAACCTTCTCAAAGATTGACCACATCGTAAGGCACAAAGCAAGCCTCTACAGATTCAAAAGCATAGAAACTATATCCAGCATCTTCTCTGACCATGATGGAATTAAACTTGAGTTTACTTGCAAGAGAAATCCTCAAAAATACTCAAATACATGGAAATTAAATAACCTACTCCTGAATGACTCCACAACTACTGAAGAAATTAAGCCTGAAATCAAGACATTCATGGAAACCAGTGACAACAAGGACACGAGTTTCCATAATCTTTGGGACACTGCTAAAACAGTCATAAGAGAGAAGTTCATAGAAATTAGTGCACATAAGAGGAAGATGGAAAGAAGGCAAATGGATCACCTAACATCATGCCTCAGAGAATTGGAAAAGCAACAGCAAAAAAGATCCAAACACTCCAGGAGAAAGGAAATAATAAAGATATGAGCAGAAATAAATGAAATAGAAAATAAATGAACTATACAGAAAATAAATGAAAGTAAAAGCTGGTTCTTTGAAAAGATAAACAAAATTAATATACCACTAGCAAGACTTATTAAGAAGAGAGAAAGGAACCAGGTGAATCATATCTGCAATGAAGCAGGCAAAATAACAACAGACATAGCAGAAATACAAAACATTATTAGAGGATACTATGAACATCTATATGCCAAAAAACAAGACAATCTGGATGAGATGGACAAATTCCTGGGCACATGTAATCTACCAAGATTGAGCCACGAGGATACAGAAAGTCTGAATAGGAACATAACAAGCAAGGAGGTTGAATCAGTAATAAATAACCTCCCAACAAAGAAAAGCCCTGGCCCTGATGACTTGACCTTTGAATTCTACAAAACTTTCAAAGAAGAGTTAACCCCCATTCTGCTCAAGTTATTTCTAAAGATCCAAAAGGGTGAATCTCTCCCTAATTCATTCTATGAAGCCTCTATCACCCTTATCCTCAAAACAGATAAGGACAGGACAAGGAAGGAAAACTACAGACTAATATCCCTGATGACTATAGAGCAAAAATTCTCAACAAGATACTAGCAAATCATATCCAACAACTTATAAAAAAGATTATACCTCATGATCAGGTAGGCTTTATTCCAGGAATGCAAGGTTGGTTCAACATACGCAAGACCATAAATGTAATATACCATATTAACAGGAAGAAAGATAAAAACCATATGGTCATATCAATTGATGCAGAAAAAGCATTTGATAAGATACAACATCCCTTCATGATCAAGACTCTCAGCAAAATTGGCATAAAAGGGTCATTTCTCAACACAATAAAAACTATCAAAGAAAAACCCACAGCAAACATCACCCTCAATGGAGAAAAGCTGAACACTTTTCCACTAAAAACAGGTACAAGACAAGGATGCCCACTTTTTCCACTCCTTTTCAATATAGTACAGGAAGTCCTCGCCAATGTAATCAGAAAAGAGGAAAAAATAAGACATTAAAATAAAAAAAAAAGAGGTGAAACTCTCTCTGTTTGCAGATGGCATGATTGTATACCTAGAAGACCCAACGGTTTCCATGAAAAAATTTCTGGAAATAATACATGAATACAGTAAAGTTGCAGGATACAAAATTAATA